AAAAAATGAACTTAAATGATTTTAGCATATGGCTGCAATATAACAGAGTGAAAAATTTAAGGGGGTCTGAATACTTTCTGTACCCACTGTATGTTTGATTAAAGTGAGTGTAATGTGTGCAGCAGCAATGCAGTTTTAGCAACATGTCAGCCATCCACCACAAGATGAGAGTGATGTTCATGCTCAACATACATCTTTGAAATGCTGTTCCTCTTTTTACTTTGAATTGTATGAAAATCGGTTGGTTGTACTTTATGCACAACCATCTCTCTGCTTGGAAAATTTTATGAGGATCTGGATGTTATTTTTTTTATCTTAAATCACTGGAAATATTTTGTAAGTGTCCAACATTTTTGTTGTTCCTTCAGATACTTAGCCTTTCCTTTTTGTTGCTGAAGTGTATCAAGCATTCTTTACCACCAAGACCCATTCCAGCTGATCCACGCCAGATTTTGCAGGGCAGCATTTGTACCATGAGCTCAGCCCGTTACATCTTTTGCTAAATCACCTTTACCGTCATTCTCCAGAGCAACCCAAGAGAGAACAGATATTAATCTTCACCATTTTCACTGACAGGCCTCCTCTCAGTCAGGTGTGCCAACTATGTGGAACCAGCATCTATCACACCTTATGCTGGGGGGAGCATTTTGAGTGTGGTACAGCAACAACCGCATGCTGGCTGTGCATTGTGAACTGCTCTGCCTTGTGTCTTTGTTCTTATGGAGCTCACTTTTCTCTTTTCTTGTGTTCCCTACTTCAGACATCCCTGCACATCATGCCTGCTGACAAGGCTCCGGAGGGACCTGCAAGGTAACCTCTGTTTCCTTAATTTTCATCTGCATCACTCATTTTCCCCTCCCCCCCATCTTCACAGCAGCAGTGGTCCTTGTTGTGATTCAGCACGGAACCGAAACTCCACTCTGTCTTGACCCATCTCTGATGCATATAGCCTTTGTATGTGCTTTTAATAATGATTTGCAAGGATTACTCTTGGTGTTGTTTGCTTTTGTCACCAAAGACGGGGAGCTTTACGTCTCCCTCTTACTACCAGAGCCAGAATAAATTAACTCAGCAGACCTATTGATTCTGCCTTTCACCTCCTATCCTTCCCTCAACCCCCCTCTTCCATCCCTTGGCCTACTCCTTTTCATCAGTGGCCTCCCTATTCAGTAGCATTTTCCCCTGTGAACGGAAAGAGTAGAACTAGGATGTGATGAATAGACCGTGTAATTCACAAGTGACATTCAGTGTCTTTGCTCTGTATAGAGCCCTTTTTTTTTTTTTAAAAAGTAACAATAATGTTTTTGAAAAAAGTTAGGGTAACTCAGTTGTATTCTTGGACAGATAAAATAATAGCCTAAGTTGTAGATGGATGAGTTTGGACATACTTAAAAATGCATTCGAGGTTTTCATTATGACCAGGATAATCCTGAAAATCCTTGACACTGGAAAAAAAAGTTTTTGCCCAACATTTGTTATATATGCACAGCTCACTTGTCTCAAATTATCCACAGAAGTTTAAAAAGAGTAGAAATATGCTGTTTAACAGAGGTGATTAGAGCTGTGAAAAAACTATTAACTTGCTCAGAATTGATTATATATTGATACTGGTACCTGCTCTGAGTTTGTAAGTATATGACACAAAAGTCAGTTGCTGATATCTGACCATGTTGCAGTGCTACCAGCGACTACAGGAAGAGAAGGAGGTCTGAGCCCTCTAGTTCCCAAGTGAATGCTTCATCTCTGAGCAGAGCTACAACTTCCCCTAAACCAGTGGATGCCTACAGACCCAGCAGCACTCTAAAGAAACCTGTCATTCGTTCCTCACCATCCTCACCGTCCAGAGCTAAAGGTACTGACACATATCTTCTTGACTGGATATTTTTTCTCTGGCTTTGTCTTTTTCTTTTACTTTGTTTTTCCCAGTCTGTCATATATGTGTAATGGACTACATTGCCAGCAAGTTAAGGATTTGTTTGTCTTTTATGTTTTTCATGATATACTGTATCTGTCCGTCGTGCTCCTAACGTTTGTTGAGTGGTGCTGGATGAAGTCTGAAGAAAAAACAGCATATCTATTTTTCCACCCTAAATTTCCTCTGCCAATTCTTCTCCCTATCTCCAGCTCTTCCTCCTTTGTGCTGGGTATTTTTGCTTAACCTTCTTTCCTGCTTCTCTCTCACCATGCTGCTCCCTGTTGGACATCTGAAAGGTGGGAACGCATGCAGCATGTATTCAAACAGTTTGACCTCCCCAGGTCCTTGTCAATATCCCTATCATGCCCCTGTCCCCTCTGACCCTGTCCACTGCCATGAGGATGCCAGCCAGGAGGGCAGCTCCACCTCCAAGCAGTCTGTCTGTTGTAAGAACAGTTGGCAGACAAAACGCTCGGATCATGGGACATGGAGCAGTGTGGAGGAGGCGCCATCCTCCCCTGGAAAACTTAAATCACGTAGCTGTGTTGACTTGCTCAATGATGGTCATTCTGGCTCAGGTGGGCACAATGCCACTCGCTCAGAAAGTGTTGGGTCATTGGTGTGTGATGGGAATCCCTCGGGTTCAACTGGGTCCACTTCCACTCACTCATTGCCTCGACTCCACCGGCGACAGGCACATGATTCACCAGGCTTTCTCCAGCTTTATCATAAAATGCATCAGATTGACCGAGCTCATCTTATTCCATCTGAAGTCATCCGCTCGGTCCGTGCTCGCATCCTGGAACTAGAGCACCAACCTCATCTGCATCGGCATCATCTATCTCCTTGGACACCCTCTTGGGGTGTGGAGGTGCCACGTGATATGGTGCCAAACCGCATATCTGAATATGAGCGCCTTATTCAGAAGTCCAAATCCATGCCCAACTTGGGTGACAGTGAGGTACCTTCAGGCACTACCACACCAGGTGGCTCCTCATCTCGAGCCAGCAGTGGTGGTGGGGGCACACCCAGTTTGCCTAAACGCCGTTTTTCGATAGAGTCTTTACTAGAGGAAGACAACAATGGCAACAGCGGAACTGTACCTCATGCCATGGATCACTTGCAGCGACCTCGTAGCCCACCAGAAGGTCAGCCCCGTGTTGGACCAGAACCAGGCCATGGCCGATCCTTTCCTGCTCCTCCTGTTCCCCAAGACTTGCAAGCTAACCAAGACTATTCCGACAGTGAACAAGATGCTGTTGCATCAGACCTCAGTGATTTCATTCAGGTGGAGGGCTCCTCATTTTGCAGCGAGAGTGACTTTGACCATTGCTCACTAGCTTCCTCTGAGAGTTTGTATGGCTCTTCCACCATCCACCACCTCCGTCATCACCACCACCATCACCACCACCATCCCGGTAACCAAAGTCTAGGCCATAGTCAGGGATACCAACACCGCCACCTCATCAGCACATGCAAAGGCCGCTGCCCAGCCTCATATACCCGTTTCACAACCATGCTTCGCCATGAGAGAGAACGAGCACGCCAGGAGAACCAGAGGCCTTCACAACAGAGCCACAGTAGCCACTCCCAAATCCAGAGCTCACAGTCTCAGCAAGCGATGTCCAAGCTGGCCTTTCTGGTCAGTCCAGTGCCTTTCCGCAGGAAAAAGGGCTCCCCTCCTACCTCTAGAAGAAGCAATGGTTGTGAAGGTCGAGGTAGCAGACCCAAGTCCAAGCAGGCCATTTATGAAGCACTAGATGCAGCCCTGAGGGACATATATGAGCACATTCAAGCAGAGAGAGGCCACAGAGTCACTAGGGCACCTGATGACAGCATCCTGAGGAGAGTACTGGCTGAACTGCTGCCAAATGTGCCTGAACGAAGCTCATCGTTGCAAGGGAGGAGGGGGTGTTGGCATGGAGGTCAGTCCTCTGCATCTTTGTACCCAGATGGGAGCCCCACTGGGTATGCGTCATATAGAGGGGATCCCTCCACACCAAGGTTACAGTCACCAGTCAGTGCCTGTTACGGACGCCACTCGGACATCTCAAACCATAATGAATATGGAGAAGGCAATGGAAATGGTCTCTGTTATTCAGGTGGAGATAATGCACATATCACACCTCAGATATACACATATACTATACATTTTGTGATGTAGCCAATCACACCTTTATCCGTTTTTTTTTTTCTACACAAACATACATGCATGCTTGCATACATCCATCCACATACATTGACCTTAATGTCTCTTTCAGTATTGCCTGTGCCTGTTGCCCTACTCCTCACTCTGGTCAGCCAATACAACCATTACTGCGTTGTTATATATAGTCATGACATTCAGTAAGACCTGTGCACCATAAATTCTCAAGTAAAAATGGATTCTCTTGCTCCTTGTAAAACTAATGTCAGTGAAACTCAGAGCTTCCTATTGAGGTTTCTCATTAAAGGTTTTTTTTTTTGGAAAATAGGAGGGTTCTGCTCTTTGACATGCTGGAAGAATAATTTGAAGCATGTTCAGAAAATGTTGAGTTTGATTGGCAGTGTTTTATAATAAACAAAGCAATGGCAAAATATGAAAAACTGAAATTAAACTGTATGAGATATATTACACTTTGTCACTGTACTGATAAACATAGCAAACTAAAACAGGACTAGTTCAGAAAAATAGGAAACTTCTTACGGTACTAAAATGTGATACTGTGATTGATTCAAATCAAAATGGTCTCCAATGATTTTCTTTTCAAATGAGGTAAAGAAATAGTTGAGAATTTATGACATATTACTCTGGTTGCAGTAATAAATGTAAGTGTTCCTCTTTTTTTAATTTGATTATTGTTTTGGTTGTCTTATTGTTTTGCTGACTGATTTATGGAGTCCTCTTCCTGCACCTAGTATTTTTTCCCTCAAGTCATTTCTTTGTATGTTTACTAATTTATTATTAGTTTTATCATACTTTTGGGCTGTATACACCTTATTTTGTGTTCCATCTACTTTGTAGAATTGCCTGTGTCTCTTTGTGTCATTGTTGCAAAGTCCGATCACCTTGTTTTTCCTATGACATGGAAATAAAGCACACCTATTGTTGACCCATGCTTTCATTCCCTCATTCTCCTGTTGGAATGGCATCATCCCTGTACCAATCAGTACTTTCCCAAAGCACTTTCTTATATTGTGAGCATGCATGTGGCATGATTGTGGTTACTATGATAACTCGTGACTTTTGTCATATGTCTCCACCAATCACAGACCATGATGTCTCCAAGAGTTATTCCACCATGGATGGACGCCGCACACCTCAGAGTAGAAGACCTACTCCTGACAGAGAGGTATATTTGTTGCTAGTGTTCTCAGCACCAGTACTGTAGTTTAGAAAACATTAGCACAGACTGGATAAATATTGTGTGGTTGTGTAACACTAATTAGACATTCAGAAATAATATGTTAGCTGTATATTCATAGTACAGTTAAATAAGGTGAAATGAATGGGATGATTGGTCATCACCAGGGTTAAGTTGTGAGTTGTGAGGAGAGAGCGCCCTTGTTTTCAGTAGGATGTAGTTCACGGGTATATCCAAAGTCTCTTATATGATCATTCCTCAATCCTCACTACACGGATACAACTTTTGAGCAAAGATCAAGAACATCCCAAGACTCTTATTCCTGCTTTGGAAAGTGAGGAGGCCACCAGGAGAAGCCATAAGTGAATCTCAATTCCCTTATTTCATCGTTCCTCTCTCCTTGATCCTTGCTTGACTCTGAAGGTGTTCCGGTCTGCCATGATGAAGGACGTCCCAGAGCTCTTATCTCTGCCCTGATGAAGGAGGACTGAGGACAGCCCAGAGGACAGTTAAAACCCATTTCCTTGGTTCCTCTCTCCAAGCAATTCGTCCATACACCTTTTCCTCACATCTTACATGGGCATGACTAAGAAAAGATGCAAGTGAGGGAGACATGGATGTAATTAGGGGAATTGGGATTCACCTCATGATGGAGGAGATGTGCAGAAAGCAATTGCAGTAGATTAATAAGGCTACAGTAAGATCCCAATGTCACAGAAGAATGTTTTAATAATTAATGCAGTTACCGCTGCTGTGCCACTTGTGTAAATTGTGTACAGCTTCTCTCTCTATTAGGAGACACACATATCGATCTTGCTACTGTTTGATGCCCACAGCAAATCATTAAAGTCAAAGAAAATCAGCTATGTTTTACATTTGTTCAGTCAGCATGAGACAGTGCCTGAAAGCAGATGTTTAAATCCACAGTTGTTAGAATTTCCAGTGCCACGTTGCTCTAAAGGAGACAGAGCTGAGATCCAGTCATGTGCCATTTGGATGACAGAGCTCAGCTCTAGCAGTTCCTGCCCCAATTAAAGCCCTGGTTGTTTCAAATGTTTCAAATTAAAGGTGATAAAACTAATATTTTTGTCTCTTGTTATACAGTACTGCAGCACAGTAAAATGTCCTTGTGAACACATTACATTTTATGTTATACCTGATAATGCTTGCTGGCTTTATTTCTCTCATCTCCTAGGTTTCCCATAAACAGATGACACAACTTATTCTGTTCTCTCTCCTCCATCAGAAACAGCCTGCAAGAGCCATATATGATTTTAAGGCACAAACATCTAAGTGAGTACAGTTAATGCACGTACATCCAAGAGAGCAGCGCTGTAAAGTGTCAATGTCTGACTGCACATCAACACGTGTCAACTTGCTGCTTTAAATGTTATTTCAGATTATTAAACATGTCTTGTATAAAGTTTCTTTTGTTTTTAAGAAAGAATTCATTGTCACATCTTACCACCACACCTCACTGGCTTTAAACTGGTTTATTTTTTTGTAGTTTTTGAATGTGTGCATGGGTTAAGCTGATTTCTGTTGTGCTGGATCTTACTTTGTTGTGCTTCAGTGGGTGATGCTGTTTACGTGGAATGACGTCTACTGATGGAAGTGTTGGTGTTGTGTTCAGTTCACATCTCCCCTATGCGTACAGTATACAGTGGATAAAAGACACATGCAAAGCGGCCTTTATGATATGACTGTGTTACAGGGAACTGACATTTAAAAGGGGTGATGCAGTGAACATCATCAGGCAGATAGACAACAACTGGTATGAAGGAGAGCATCATGGACGGGTGGGGATATTCCCCATATCATACGTGGAGGTAAATAGGCAACAGATACAGTACATGACTCTCTGTGTGCTGTATATGTGCGAGTGCACCTTTTCTGAGTTTTATTTAAATGTATTAAGCATATCTCATCTCCATAATACACAAACTCTTTTACACAATCCTCACACAGAAGATGCCATCCTCAGAGAAACCGCAGCCGATCCGTCCTCCTCCGCCAGCACAAGTCACCGATATCGGGGAAGCAGTGGCACGCTACAACTTCAATGCTGATACTAACGTCGAGCTGTCTCTCAGAAAGGTAGCCTGCTAAATGTTTGTGCTGCATACCAAACAGTTTTTATACATACTATATGTTCCTAATTGTACACTGGCTATCTTGTATCCAATTTTGGATAGACGGTATAAACTGTTTTCTGAGGTCATAAGTGTGTAGTCCTTCAGCTGTGTTCAAAACCAGTTGTTGCAAGGTTCTCATCATATGGTGCTTCATACTTGTAGCATTTAGAAACTGAGAGTGATACTGTAGTTTTGTGGAGATCTGTTCATCACAACAGCAGCACAAGATTACAGTAATTACAAACAGTTTTGATAACTGTTCAGTGTTGTTTAAGCCATTTTAAGCAAATGCTTCTCAAATGTGAATATTTGTTGCTTTTCTTAGTCTTCTATGATTAATTAAATTAAGTTAAATATCTTTATGTGTGTAGGGCGAGAGAGTAATTGTGATAAGGCAGGTGGATCAGAACTGGTATGAGGGGAAGATCCCAGATACAACCAAACAGGGCATCTTTCCTGTGTCCTACGTTGACATTGTCAAGCGCTCGCCGTCCAGGAGCTCCGCCCACCACATAGAGCCACATGCTTACCCCAGCAAAAGGACACCAAATACTACACCTGTCAAGGTAGGGGAATCACTACAATATGGAAACAATTCAAGTTTCTAATTAGTTTGTTTTAGATAGTTAAACACACAGTGAAACTCTGTTTATAAATCACACTCTGTTCCTTCCTCTTCACTTCATCTTCATGGAGCCTTTCTATCATCTACCTCCATCCTCCACCACCCATGACCTCCCCTCCTTCCACCCCTCAAAGACAAGGCTTGGCTTACAAACTATCACGAGCGAGTGGCTGTCACTCACAATGGACCCATCAGCATCCGCTCTTGTTCGCCCCCTCACAACCTCCCCTGTGCCCCCCACACCTCCCCCACTTCCATCTGAGCTTGCATCTTTCCTAAAGGCTCAAGACACGAAGGCATCCTCACCTGTACCGAATCAAAGAGGCTACACTCTCCCAACCCAGACGCTTTCCAGAACTCCACCTTTAAAAGAAGGGAGACTCAGCTTAGGTCACACCCCAGTTGTTCTGCCTTTTTCCCAAACTCCTCCTTCTCCTCCTCCTCCCATCCCTTATTTCTCAGTCACCTCTCCATCAACTGATTCTTCTCAAATGACACATACTGCTAAGCCAGATATTTTGCCCTGCACAGTGCAAGAGCAAATAAAGTCACCCAGACAAATTTCACAGCAGGGCAAGTCTGCCGTTCAAGTAAAAGACCCTTATGATGAGCTGCTAAATATGATTCAAGATGATTCTACTGACTCTTCAAGATTATTTCCAGTAGATTCCCCACCAGCTACACTAACCAGTGAATCTCAGAGCAGGTTTAAACTAAAAGCTGAAGAATCCCGTCAGCCAGCAGGAAAACCTCGAGTAGTCAGTCCAGCCAGCAAATCAGCAGGCAGCGTTCGGTTAGAGGCGCAGCTTCACAAGCCTGTGATGATGGAGCCACTATCAGTCATCTGGGGAGGACAGTCACAAACTCTGAATATTGAAGAATCATTTGAACTTCAAAGGCCACCTTCAGTCAAGGGGAAGGGATTTACTGAGTTGTTCATTGAGGAAGAGGATGAAACTTTAGAAGATAAAGAGAAGGATGTTGCACTTTTAAAAGAAAGACTAAGTCTACAGGTAGAGCATGGTGTGATCTGGATCTGTTCGGAAATGCGACAGGGCCTTGGAAGGGACAGTGAGGAAAATATTTTTGATTTTAGAAAAAAATAGACCTAGACAAAATGTTCAGTTTACTTGGGTTAATACGACGGTTTTTTTGTTCCATGCCAAATGTGGGGGACAGTTTATTTCTCCAGATGAGGCAAAAGCTTTCTTTGTATACGGGAAACGTCAGCATGGCTTTTAATATCCAATCTAAAATCTTTTCCTCCACATCCCTTCTGGGGTTTAACAACATTCAGCCACAACAGAATTTCTGAAGTTCCTGCAATTCAGCATCAGTGTTGATGTGTGTGTTATTACGTTCATAGGCTGATGTCTCTCCTTCCACCCTGAAGCAGATCTCTCACCCCGGCCTCTCCTCGCCATCCACACCACTACCTCTGACCTCATTACCTCCACCTTCTTCTGCTTCTGCTTCTGCTTCTACTCCCTCACCTTCTTTCTCACACTTACAACCACACGATCGTAACACCATCCCTCCATCTCCCCCTGTCTCCCCACGACCCCCATCCCTTCCTCAGCTTTCAACATCACCCATGCCTCATGTCTCTCCCTCTCCACCTGGCTCACCATCACCCATCAACTCCTCTCACCCCTCTCCAAATGTTCCCTCACAGCGTTCTGTCTCTCAACCCTTGAGTTCTCCCTCTCTTTCTTATCCAGTCACATCTTGTGCCAACTCAGCGTCACCTATTCCCTTTCCCACCCTATCTCATTCTAAACCTACCTCGCCTCCCCTTGCTACTCCACGGTCTCCCCCGACTCTCCCCACTATACCCCCTCCTGGGCGTAGGTCTCCCAAGGTGAAGGTAAAGCTGGAATGTGGAGATGGTTGCATTGATTTTGATGTTTGTGCTGCCAGGGATTATGACAAAACCTTTTCCCCATCTGGAAAACTTTGATGGGCATTTCTTCTTCTTCTCATCATTTGTAGACTAAACAGTTAAATATATTGACAGATTAATCAGCAGTGATGGCAACTCTAACTGTGACTACTGTGTTTTGTACACTAACATGAGCTGCTGTATGGTGATGATTTATGCGCAGCCGAAAACATCCATAAATCATTGTGTGCTCTTTATGTTGGTTGCACTGTGGTGTGTCAGACGATTTTCCTCGGCATGTTTCCGGATGATGTTGTACCGCACCTCATTAGCCTACAGCCCAGTATGTGTGTTCAGCTCACAGTGAAGGCTGCTGACCTGGTCACTGTTGAAGATTATAGGTGTGCTGCTTCTGGTCTTTCTGCCCATTAAGCAGGATCCAGTTGTTGGTGGTAAACCTCCTCGCAGCCCTATCTTGTCCCGGAGGTCCTATGTGTCATCTGTTAGAGGTCGAAGGGTAGGGGGGCATGTCTTCCTTCAACCATGCTCTTACTGTGCTCTTGTCTCTGTGCAGGGAGAAAATCTTTAGGAATTACCATATTTCACAACATTTTCTGTAACATCCATGTAAAGCTTGCCATTTTTATAAACACAGTCATTTTCCTTAATGAAAAGGAGACATTGTATTATCTGAGCAGTTAGTGAGAAGGTGTTTCCTTTCAACCTCTTCAAACTCTAGACAAAAGACCCATGAATGCTACACATACTGACAGAAAATATTGATCTATTGTGTGCATGTGTTTTTCTTTCTCTCTCACTAATTCAGCGACTAGTACAGGATGCACTCCATGGTGGAGGAGAGCCGTAAGTGGTATTTGTTACTGTTAATATCTGTCCTTACATCTTCTGAACTGTTATCCAATAAAAACATCTCTCTCTGCTAAACTGTAGGTAGAATTAATAAGATATGCAGCAGTTACTTGTTGAACTGGATGATTTCAATCATGCAGTTTCAACTTATTTTTAAATTGACTTGTATGACATGTAAACACATTTGTGTCACTAGAGAATATAGCAAATGAAAATAAAGAAGAAAAAAGCAGCAGTGATACACATCCACAAGTGACAGTATTGTTCTGTGTTATTTGTGCAGCATATCATGGAGTTCACAGTTTGTTTTACCAACACAGGTACCAGGCTCTGTACAACTACATGCCTCGCAACGAGGATGAGCTGGAGCTGAGGGAGGGCGATATTGTTGATGTGATGGAGAAGTGTGATGATGGCTGGTTTGTTGGTAAGAGGAGCAAGCACATCAACATGGGCTGGCTAATAAAAACGGGTAATAAACTGTACAGTTGACGGTACTTGGGTACTTGTATTTCCAGTTGTTAGCAGTTTCACCAAAGCTCCACCTCTTTTTCACTTCATGGATGGTTTCAGTTAAATACATGTTCAAGCCTGAAAGAAATCAAATTATTTTACTAGAGGAGTGCAGATTGGAGGGCAGCACAGCAATACGGTGGTTAGCACTGTCGTCTTACAGCAAGAAGGTTCCGGGTTTGAGCCCAGGTCCATAGGGGTGAGTGTGTTTGTCTACATGTCAGCCCTGTGATAGACTGGCAACCTGTCCAGGGACCCCGCCTCTCGACCAATGCCAGTTGGGATTGGCTCCAACCCCCCGACCCTGTTCATGAATAAGCAGTATAGATGATGGATGGATGGAGTACAGATTGGAGAAAAATAGCCTGACTTGGGATGAATTCCAATTCCCATAATTGCATCCACGTTTCTCGCACTTGCCTCTTTTCCTTGTGTCTTGGTCCTTCTCTTGTCATGTACATGAAGAAGATCACAGGAGCTAATTTTCTAAGGTCTTTTAATACTTTAAATATATTTGTTTAATAATACTTATGCACTTTTACTTAAGTAAGATTAAACTACATGCACAGTGTAGTTACAGTGTACTTAAGCATGTCTACCAGGTGTGTGACTGGGATTGGAACGGCAGACAGACCACTAGATGGCAGTGTTGTCCTAACTCATAACTGTAACATAACTGGCTCCTTCAGAGACATAATCTCAGAGCGGACTACAATTTAAGATTGATAGCCAGAGAGTC